AAAAAAAAAAAAAGAAACAGAAAAAGAAAAAGAAAAACACCTTAATGTTCTCACCATAACAACAACCACAGAATTGTAACTGTGTGAGGCAGAGGATGCACTGATCTCATCGTGGTAAGTCTTCTGCAATATGTGTGTTGAATCATCACACTGGGCACCTTAAGCTTACACAATATTATACGTCAATTATGTCTCAACAAAGCTGGGAAAACTGGTAATCGCTTAATATAAGTGATGGGGTATACAGGGCTTCGTAAAAGCACTTACTGTTCTTTTCGGTAGCTTTGAAGATTGTTACGGTAAAATGTTTAGCAAAAAACAAATTTGGTTTTGAAACTTAAAAAATTATTAGGGTCCTAGGGAAGAATGGAATCCTTGTGTGATGGACAATTGAAAATGTAGATTAACAAAGGGTAATGAATGCTACCGGTCACTAAAATGTTGTGAAGCAACAGTTACAGAAGTATTACTGGCTTAGGAATAAATAGCCAAGGAAAGAGGATAGAAAACCCAGAAACGGCCCCTGTTGCATATAAGATGTGAGTTTTTGATAAAGTTCTGACTTCCAATCAATGGCAAAAGTTTGAATTATTCACTAAATGACACCAGGTCAGCTGCTTAATAACCTAAGAAAAAAGGCATTTCCATATGTCACATGCCACACCAACATAAATGTCAAATAGACTAAAGAATTAACATGTTTTTCAAAAACACAAAAGAATTATAAGAAAATATAGTGAATATCTGACATCAGAATCAAAAAGATTTTTTTTTTAGCATAAAAACCAAGGGAGAAAATACAAATGAAAAGACTGGTTTGACTACCCCCCAAATTTAAAACTTGGGTCCAGGGGTGCCTGGGTGGCTCAGCTGGTTAAGCTTCCAACTTTGGCTCAGGTCATGATCTCACGGTTCATGGGTTCAAGCCCTGCATCAGGCTCTGCGCTTGACGGTGTGGAGCCTGCTTAGGATTCTCTCTCTCCCTCTCTCTCTGCCCCTCCCCGACTCGCACTTTCTCTCTCTCTCAAAATAAATAAATAAAAACTTTTAAAAAATAAATAAAATAAAACTTTGGTGCAAAGCAAAACCAAAGAAACAAACATTTGCAGGATGGGATTAAAATAAGTGTTTATTAAGCTCATCTTATTAAATCCTCAGAACGATCCTGTAAAATAAATATTATCTCTATTTTATAGAAAAGTAAACTGAGGTTTAAAAAAGTTAGGTGGGGGCGCCTGGGTGGCGCAGTCGGTTAAGCGTCCGACTTCAGCCAGGTCACGATCTCGCGGTCCGTGAGTTCGAGCCCCGCGTCGGGCTCTGGGCTGATGGCTCAGAGCCTGGAGACTGCTTCGGATTCTGTGTCTCCCTCTCTCTCTGCCCCTCCCCCGTTCATGCTCTGTCTCTCTCTGTCCCAAAAATAAATAAACGTTGAAAAAAAAAAAAAAGAAATAAAAAAGTTAGGTGACTTGGGGCACCTGGGTGGCTCAGTCGGTTAAGCGTTCAACTTTAGCTCAGGTCATGATCTCAGGGTTCGTGAGTTCGAGCCCTGCATCAGGCTCTGTGCTGACAGGTCAGAGCCTGGAGCCTGCTTCGGATTCTGTGTCTCCCTCTCTCTGTCCCTCCCCCACTCGTGCTGTCTCTCTCTCTCTCTCTCTCTCTCTCTCTCAAATAGATAAACATTAAAATTAAAAGAAAAAAAAAGTTAGGTGACTTGTCCAAAGTCACACAGCTAGAACCTGGTGGCAGTTGGATTCAAATCCAGGTCTGCCTGACTTCAGTTTACATTGGCTACCTACTTTACCATACCGCCTCTTGCGTATGACACCTTAGTAGTGTCCCTAATATGCAAACAGCTTTTACAACTCAATAATAAAAACAAATGCATTCCCAGTAAAAGTGGGCAAAGTAGGGGCGCCTGGGTGGCGCAGTCGGTTAAGCGTCCGACTTCAGCCGAGTCACGATCTCGCGGTCCGTGAGTTCGAGCCCCGCGTCAGGCTCTGGGCTGATGGCTCAGAGCCTGGAGACTGTTTCCGATTCTGTGTCTCCCTCTCTCTCTGCCCCTCCCCCGTTCATGCTCTGTCTCTCTCTGTCCCAAAAATAAATAAACGTTGAAAAAAAAAAAAATTAAAAAAAAAAAAAAAGTGGGCAAAGTATAAAAACAGGAAATACACTTGGTCAGTACAAACATATGAAGAAATGCTGTCACCAATTTCAGGGAAAGGTAAATTAAAATGAGATACTTTTCCATTGGTAAAGGTTTTATATACTTCTCTCTTAATATCCTATCTTTCTTTGCTGAGTATATCTGTTAAGGATCTTGGGTCGCAAGCAACAGCAACTGAAGTTTAGATTGTTCTCTTTATGACACTGCCTTCTCCATTCAGGATTTGAATGGAGGGGTGGGCAGGTAAGAGAAGAGTCCAGTTAACTCAAGCCTGAGTCAAATGCCCTCACCTGTAGCAGGGGAAGTATCTGGTGATTGACAGCCAACCAGAATTACAGGACTGGGGAGCAATGACTCCACCAAAGGAAGAGATACCAGGCAGACAAGAGCAGGAGATTCCTGCTACAGCGGCTCACACACTCATTTACATCTTTTCTGAGATGCAATTTGACCGGGTATTCCAAACCTGAAAAGAGATCACTGCTGTTGACCCGGTGTTTCTTTTTGTTTGTTATTTGCTTGTTTGGGTTTTTAAAAATTGGGTTTTGGTTTTGAGATTCTTTACTGAGGTATAATTGACACATAACATTATATTAGCTTCCAATGTACAATGTAATGATTTGATATTTGTATGTACTGTGAGATGATCACCAAAATAAGTCTAGTTAACGTCCATCACCACATGTAGTTACAAACATTTTTCTTACGATAAGAACTTTTAAGAGCTACTCTCTTAGCAACTTTCAATATGCAATACCGTATTATTAATTATAATCACCATGCTATATGTTACATCCCCATGGCTTATTTATTTTATGCCTAGAAATTTATACCTTTTGACTGACCTAGCATTTCTACTTTCACAAATTTACCCTAAGAAGATAGAGATGTGGGGGCGCCTGGGTGGCTCAGTTGGTTAAGCATCTGACTTCGGCTCAGGTCATGATCTCATGGTTCATGAGTTTGAGTCCTGCATCAGATGAGCTCGAGCCCCACATCAGGTGAGCTGGAGCCCCGCTTCCAGTCCACACTGTCAGCGTGGAGCCTGCATGGGATTCTCTCCCTCTCTCTCTCTCTCTTTCTCCCCCTCATTCACTCGTGCTCTCTCTCTCTCTCAAAAATAAACCTTAAAAAAATGACAACTTAAAAAAAGAAAAAGAAAATAGAGATGATTCAAAATGTATACACAAAGGTTGCTGTCACGGCTTTATTTGAGTGAAGAAAATGGAAACCTAAGTGCTACGATAGGAAACTATATGCTTTAGCATATCAGTCTTACAAAATACCATGTAATCATTAAAAATGATGAAATTGGAGAATACTTCATGACACAGGAAAATGTCTGCAAAATCATCTTAATTGAAAAAGCATTTCTTCAATATATATGTGTAGTTCGTAATCAGGGAAAAAACCCAGTCCCATAAAATTCTCCTATTCCAAAAGAAACATCACATCATAGAACATAGGGCCCTTCCCTCTTCTCCTGAGAGCTTCAAAGACAGCATGAGGGATTCTAGTTAAACCCAACGAAGAACTTCCCAACTGTGAGGGTTGAAAGGAATATCCTCTTTCTTTCTTGGCGTGAGATGAAGTTATACCTTGCTCCCAAGGCCTGGTAACTGATGGGGACCATGGAGAGGCAATGACAGAGGTCCCACCTTAGTTAGGAATTAACTGTGGTTTCTTGAGTCAGTTCCCACCCATCCCCGGCTTACAGTTTCTTCATCTTTCAAATGGGAGGGTGACGAGGAAGGCCTTGATCCCCTGTGGTCCTGGTAAGATGCTATGGTTCCACGGGGGTTTCTGTTTGGGGCCCCTTAAGACTCTGAGCCCTAGTGCCTCTTCCACCAAATGCAGGAGCCAAATAATGTGAAATCTAAGGTGCAGTCCTTGGCTCTGATGATTTTTTGCTCAGGATCTCTCAGGGCCAGGGAAAGAGGCCCAAAAGCCACCTACATCTGCTGCAACCGGTAACCTCAGCCAAACAAACGTCCACCCAGACAGCTGAGCCAGCCCAGGGCAGAGGGCGGTTCCACCAGAGGCCACTGGAGGTGACGTCATGAAGGTGGGGAGATCTCTCTCTCTCTCCCACCCAGAGAAGCCCAGGAGAGGCCAGAGCTACCCTCACTCACTGTGCCTGCCTGACCTTAACCCCAATTCCCCGTAGGCATCCAGAACTCTGCAACCCCCTTCTTGCCATTCCAAGCCGACCTCTATCTCCTGCCTAAGCCGTTGTTGGGGCTTCGAGACCTTCGAGAGCCAGGAAAGGGATTGTCTGTCTCAACAACCTTCATCCTTTAGACGAATGAGAAAAACCGAGAAAAACTGAAGAGGGAGCAGACTTGCCTGAGATCACAGCCCAAGTCAGCAATACAGGCAGGACTGGATCCTGGCCCCCAACACCGAGCACCTGCTCCCACCTATCTTTGGTTCTTGCACAAGCGCCCTTGCACTGGAGCTCTGGGGCACGGGGTGGGGCCAGGACAAGGCAAACAGGTGCCATTCCAGCCACCTCCTGTCCTTCCTCCCCTGACTCAGCTGCTCTACCCTCCCTGGAGCTGTGAGAGTTCATTTAAGGGCCCCTGGGCCCTGGATTTATTAAGTGCCGGCAGCAGAAACATGAGGGCCTGGGGCCTTCTCCTCCTGGTGGCCCTCCTGGCTTTGGGGAGCCAGCTGCCTGCTGCCTTGGCCAGGAGGAAGGGAGGTGAGTGTGGGTAGGTTTCTCTGCTCTGGGGACCTGGCAGCTCCTACCTCTCTGGGGAGAGTGAGGGTTTGGGGAAAGCAGGCAATGGTGTGTGTGTGTGTGTGTGTGTGTGTGTGTGTGTGTGCGCCTTTGCTGTGTCTGCACAAGTATGTTTAGGTATGGCCAATGTGTGTGTCTGTGCACCTGTACATGGGTGAACACACATCCCTTTGTGTCTCTGCGGTGGGGGGAGCAAACTTGTCTGTACCTGCTCTCCCACGTTGTCTCCATGGAGGTATTAGGGTCTGTGGGCCCCCATGGCAACGAGATGACCCTTTCTGTCATCTTCTGTTGCTAACAAGGCTGTGACGGGTCTGGCCCCTGTCCGTCTTGTTTCCGTCTTTCTCGAGTCCTTCCTGTCCCAGAGCCCAATCTGTGCAAGGGACTCTCGAACCGGGCAGGGATATGGTTTCTGGGATCTGTTGTTAGGAAGCTCCGCCCTCACCCCTCTTTTCCCCCAGCCTCCTTGAAAAGCCTGGGGCTTACCTGTCAACAGGTGAGGGAGGATGGGGCTGTTGAGTAGCTAGACAGGTGCCTCCCCACCTGGCCAAGGTCTCCACCTCCTGTCTTTCTGCGACGGGTACACTGTGACCTACATACACCTGTTCGTCCCTGGCCCTGCCTTGGGGGAAGCAGACAGTAATGGGGACAGGTTCCCTCCTCAACAGGTCCTGGAGAGCAGTTCCCTGCATCTTCTCTGCCCCCTCTACTCTAACTTGTGCCTTCCTCAGAGGCAGGGTTTGGGGAGTAGAGTGCTCAGAGACCCCAGGCTGAGGAGGGAAGGTTGCTAGCAAGTTCCAAGGCCAGACCCCTGCTGGCTGGGATTCATGTGTCCTCACCACATTCCTCCTCACTGAGATGCTGAGCGATCGGGACTATTTTTATCCCCCTTTTGCAGGTGACAAAACTGAGCCACTTGAAATGCCAGTCCTGACCCTCTCTTCCTGTCTGTTCCTCAAGTCTCACCTCCTGGTCCCTCCTCCTAGAAGCCCTCCTGGCTGTATGATAGGGTCCCCAACCCCAGCCCACAGGGAGCTCCTTCTCTGACTTCAGACAGCTCCTCCCAGCTCACTCCCCAAGGCTACCCCAGGGACCTCAGGGTCTTCCCACCCATCTACCACCAGCCTGGGGAAGAGGCGCTAATCCGAGTAGTGGCCTCCCTCACAGACTAGCTGTTCTTTCTCCAGCAGGGGGCAGCAATTTAGTATAAGACAACCCAATCCAAGCCAGTGAAGTCAGTTTTGAGCACTTACTGTGTGAGCAAGGTGCCTACTGTGTGTGTGGCCAGCATCCAGTCAGGAGCTGGAGGGGGGAGGTAGACACAAGGTAAAGTCCCAGCACCGGATCCAGCTGGTGCTGGGGACTCTTGCACCTTTTCTCTGATGCTAGACTAAATGAAGGCCTGGGACTGGCCTCCATCCTCTCCACAGGACTCAATGGTGGCCAGAGCAGAGGGGTGGGTCATCAGAGGAGTCAGAGTCCTAGCCCAGGCCCTGTGGGTCTGGGCAGTCAGTGCCCTATCAACCCTTGCTTTCTCCCTCCCAATGGAAGAAGGTACAGATTCAAGCCTTCTGCATGACATCTGGAAATGGCCCAAAATGCTAACAAGAAAAATGGCGGGATAAGCTCTGGGACAAAAAATTCTAGAGCCGTCTGAGGACTACCTTAAAGTCAGAGTTAATACAGATCCCTGAAACAACGCCACTTGGAACAGGACAAGCACACAGTGCGGTTGTGGCTGACTGTGGCTGTGTGACAATGCACCAGGCTGGCAGCCGCTGACATTGTCGCGATGCTGGACCCCCTTCAAAATCCTTTCTTTCAAATAGTCGCTGAGCCACTGGTGTTCTGCATTAAGGGCTGTACTAATGGTGAGAGAAGCAGGTGGGGGTGTATTCTCATAGCCTCCAGTCAAGTGAGAGAAGGAGACAAATAGAGTCGGAGTCACAGCGCTGAAGGAAAGATCCTCTGGGAGTGTGTGGGGTGGGGGACGGGGCTGACCTGGTTAGTCAGAGGCCGGAGAGGTAGGTCTCCCTACCGCTGAGACCTGATGAGTGGGGTGTAGGCCAGAGCACAGCAGAAGCAAGGCTCTGAAAAGAGAAGCAGCTGGAAGCAGAGCAGAAGCCCCAAACGGGAAGGTGTGGAGGCTGAGAACAGTGAGGTGGGCAGCCCCAGACCAGGCACAGCCTGGTGGCCCAGGTGTAGATTTTGAACTTCATTTTTTCCTATCCTTCATGTCATTGGAGTCTCAAACCAGCTCCGGGAGGAAGGAGTCCAGTTTTCCATTGCACAGACAGAACACTGACGCTTGCAGTAAAAAACAAACAAAAGAACAAAAAACCAAAAACCATAACCCTTGCCAGCCATTTGTAACACTGTGAATGGACCTCGAAGGCATTACACTAAGTGAAATAAATCAGCCAGAGAAAGACTAATACTGTATGATCTCACATTGGAATCTAAAAATCAAAACTAAACAACAACAACAACAACAACAGCAACAAAAACAACAAGCTCATAGGTACACAGAACAGATTGATGGTTGCCAGGGGGTGTGGGTGAAAGGTGGGTGAAATGCGTGAAGAGGAGTCAAAGGTACAAACTTCCAGTTATAAGAGAAATAAGTCCTGGGGATGTAACATACAGCCTGGTGACTATAGTTAACAATACTGTGTTGCTTACTTGAAAGTTGCCAAGCGAGAAGATCTTAGAAGTTCTCATCATAAGGAAAACGATGTGTAACTGTGTGTGGGGACAGGTGTTAACTAGACATGCGATCATTTCACAATATATACAAATATCGAATCATTTTGTTGTATACCGGAAACAAATACAATGCTATGTCAATTATACCCCAATAAAAATTTTAAATAAAAGTAAAAGCAAGTCCACTCACCCACCCCCCGCCCTAAAAAACAAAAACAAACTTACCAAAGGACAGGCAAGAAGTAAGGGGTAGAGACTTCAGACCTTGTGATTCCCAGGTGGGTGCTTTATGACGTGACTCTGGACTGCCTCCGGACTGCCTCCAGTTGCAAGATTCGGGGGGTTCTCTTATAGAGAAATCTGGGGGCTGCCCACCGGATGACGGGCCCTGCCTCCTTTCGGTGCCTGACCACTGCGTGGATGACAGCCAGTGTCCCGCAAGGATGAAATGCTGCTACAAAGCTTGCTTCCGCCAGTGTGTCCGTAAGATCTCAGGTAAGTGTCCTCCACCTTGCGGAGCGCCAGAGCCCCGAGCCCCACGCAGGGCTCAGCCAGGCCCCTGTGTTGCAGTCAAGCCCGGCAGCTGCCCGGAGGACCGCCTGCGCTGCGTCAGCCCCGTACAGCATCTGTGCCACCAGGACTCAGACTGCAAGGGCTCGGCTCGCTGCTGCCTGGGCGCCTGTGGCCGTGACTGCCGCAGCCCTGCACGAGGTACGCTACCTGCGCATGCGTGGCAGGGTCTTCCCTCTCTCAGCCCCTGCCTTAGACGTTCTTCCAGTTCGGTAAGCCTAACCGGATACCCACCTTCCCAGAGGCCTGGGGCTGCCCACACCAGACCTGGGGAAGAGGGTGGGATGGGAGGGGTCCTCGTCAGGCCCGTGGAGGAAGAGGACACCCTCCGTTATCTTGTGGACCTTGCTGTGTGTCCCCTGGACCACAACCCTAGACTTTTAGCTCTGAACTTTGGTTTGTCCTTGGGAAGGAGGGTGGGCCGTCCTGCCTTAGTGGCCCAGGGCTGGGCTCAGGGGGTGAATGGGGGATCAAAGTTTCTAAAGAACCCAGAGCCATATGGTGGGTGGGGTAACCCTTTCCTTCTCTCTCCTCAGGCTAATTCTGGTTTCGGATATTCAGGATGGGGTTCCTAGCAGGAAGAGGTGATGATGGGGGGAGCCTGGGACCCCGCCCAGACAGCACTATCTCTGCCAGCGGCAGTTCCAACCTTCTGATGAGCACTGATCTGCTGTCACTTCCCATCCACCCCTCGTTTCTCTTCCTGGGAGTCGAGGTGCACAGATAGACTCCTGTCACCCTGTGCCCCAACAATTTCTTCATACAGTTTCTCCTAAAATGCCCAATTCAGATAGGCCCTTCTTTTGGGGGGTCCTAGCCCCTCCCTCAGGCAGCCCAGCCACCACCAAGGTATGTTCTAGCAGAATTTTCCAGACATTACCTAGCCACATACCCCTTTCCACAACTTTCGCCACGCCTGCAAAATGGCATTGCGATATCTTGTGTATTCTCTGTACTATGTGTATAATGTTTTTCTTTAAGTGGAGTCGCTTTTGTATATAAATAAATTTATTTCCAAAGAAAAGCTTGCTACCATCACTATAAAATGGGACATGCAGGATGACTGCCTCAAATAAAATGTAACTGTAACAGCAGATGCAATGAAAATGGCGAAGTTCCATTAAAGTCGGTCTTGTCAGATCACACGGTATTAAATAATGGTACTGAATTCTACCTAAATGCTGCCACCTGCCAAGGCTGCTCTCTGTCTCTGTTGTAAATGAAGATGAGCGGGGGTTAAAGATGTGTTAAAGACACAAATCTCAGAACTGTGACCTCCCTCCTGGGGTAACTGAGTTGTACAATTTTGCACCCCAGGTACACCCTATGATCATTTCGAATTGCTGCCCATGTGGGGAATGTTGCTTGAATGGTTGGGATGTCGTTATTTTGGGGAGGGTGTGCCTCCCATTGGGCAATACCTCATTTACCTCGATTTCTCAAGGGCCGGTCTATAGTCAGGGCCTAAGGGGGCAGAGAAGGGGGTCAATGAGGGAATGACATGCTAAGGGACATTCCTGGACCCACACAGCTGGATTCCTGACTGTCCCATTCACCCAGGATTTGCTTTGGGGAGGGGAAGGAGGCAGGCAGATTTCTCCCTGTTTTATCTGCTGGGTTTCCTCTTGTGTCCCAAGAGAATCTGGGGCTGGGAAGTCAACTGTGCAGGTTAAGTTGGGAATCCTGGGTCTTCTCTCCTTGTTCCCTTGACCTGGCAGTGTGGTTGCAGGTGAGTCACCACTCAGGGATTCTATTTGCCCTTTGGAAGATGGAAAGGATTCTACTTCCTCTCTGCCATAGTCCTTCTCATGGGGTTCAAATGGCTGAGCTGTTGACTCCAGAGGAGCAAATGCTAATGTATGGATACATGGTGAAGTCCAAGAGAGGAGAGGGAGGAGAATAATCTATGAGCTTGGATATTTCCCATCTTTCTGGGACTCAGTCTCCCCATCTGTAAATTCAGGTGCTTGGAACAGATAATACGGTACATTGTACTGTTGCCCACAGATGCCTCTTCCCTCCCCACCGTTACCATGGCTTCCCTGTGGGGGAAGAGGTCATCCGTGGCCCAAAAAGTTAGGGCTTGGCCCTGGAACTGATGGGACACGGATGCAAGTGACAGTGTGCCAATTTCAAGGCAAGGCACCAGCCTTCTTGGAGCCTCTGCCCTCTGCCATGAGAAGCGTTTGCCCAGAAGCCCTCTGGTCTCAGGATGAAGGATAACTGGGACAGCCTGGGCTGGAGCTGTCAAGACTAACTTGGAAGAGCAAAATAAATGTTTGTGATAGGAAGCCAGTGAGATCTGGGGGCGGAGGGGGGCGTTCATTATTGACCTATAGCAGTCAGAGCTTGTGGAATTCAGATGATTGTTTCTCTTTAGCGAGTGCCCATTCTATGCCTCACACTCTAAACCATCATCTTATTCATCCATCCCATCACCCTGAGAAAGGTCGCCATTGTTATTCCCATTTGACAAGAAGAACCTTTGAGATAAGTGATTGTCTGAAGTGGGTTCCCTGGAAGCAAATCTTTAGATGAAGGTTCACAGGATGGTGATGCTTTGGAAACGTTCCAGGAAAAATGGGTCTGGGAGCAGAGAAGTGTACCAAAAAGGGAAGGAGGCCAGTAAGGGTGTGACAACAAGCAAAGTCTCACAGGGGGGTCTAGAGATGAGGTAGGTGACTCTTCAGAGCTGTCCCGCAGAGCAAGGGAGCTGGAGCATTTATGCCTCTGTATCCCTCAGGCATCAGTTAGTAGTACCTATGGGACGGAGGACATAAATTCCCAGGCACCTCAGGGACATCTGGGTGGCTGAGTCGATTAAGCGTCCAACTTCGTCTCAAGTCATGATCACACAGTTCTTGGGTTTGAGCCCCACATCAGGCTCTCTGCTATCAGCACAGAGCTTGCTTAGGATCCTCTGTCTGCACCCCCCTCCCAGCGCATTCAATTTCTCTCTCTCTCTCTCTCTCAAAATAAATAACCTTAAAAAAATTCCCAGGCACTCCAGGCTCTCCCTGTGTGTGGCATAGCAAGCTGCAGGAGGCTGAAGGATGCCAGTTGACAGATTCAGATACTAACTGTCAGAAGGGAAAGCATCCCAGGAGCCGGTGTGCACAAAACTGGAAAAGGGATCTGAGGTGATCTGGGCAATGCATGGACCTCACCTGCTACAAAGATGAGAGCCACATGAGGACAGTGGAGGAGGAAGCGACAAGGAGCCTGGGTCTTCAGTGCCACTCACGGACAGCTGCACCCGGACTGCTGAAAAGAGTCACCTCCCCTCCAGTTAAGCCACCAAGGCTCGGTTTGTATTCTTGCAGCTAAGTTGAATCGTACCTGAGATGGTGGGTGAAGAAAGGCAGGAAGAGTTGTTCATGGAGGAGCGACAGCGTGCGTTACTTCTCATCACGCTCCTGAAAGACAGGCGTTGTTCCCATTTTACAAATAAGGAAGCTGAGAATCCAAGAAGAGACATCACTGGGCCCATGATCCCACAGAGATTTAGTGGGAAAGGCAGGACACAAACCCACTGTATTCGTTATTTATCACTGAGTAGCAAATTACCACCCATGTAGCAGCTTAAAACAGCACGCATTTATTATTTCGTAGTTTCTGTGGGTCAAGGATCCAGGCACAACTTAGTTGGGTCCTCAGCTTCAGGGTCTCACAAAGCTGAAATAAAGATGAGCAGCTAGGGCTGGTATCTCACTGAGTCTCGACTGCAGAAGGATCCACTTTCAAGTTCATTAGGTTGTTGGCAGCATTTCAGTTCCTTGAGGGCTGTAGGACTGACTTCCTCAGTTTCTAGCTGGTTGTTGGCCAGAAGTTGCCCTCATGTCCTTGCCTTTCCAGCACGGCAACTTGCTTCGCCAAAACCAGCAGGAAGTCAATCTTATGTTACTCAATCCTGGAAGCAACATTCCCTCACCTTTGCCATATTCTGCTCATTGCAGACAAATCAGGAAATCCTGCCCATCCATGCTCAAGAGGAAGGGATTACACAAGGGCATGCATACCAGGAGGCAGACATCACTGGGGCACATTCTAGAAGCTGCCTGATGTGCCAGGTCTACTTAAGTACAAAAATTTCTGCACTTTATGCAACATCAGACTTACTCTTTGGGGTAAAGCCTCATGGATCCAGATGGCCCTTTCTGGCCAGAACTGAAAGAGAATTTGGGGGCACAGACCAATGTAATGGGTACGGATACTTCTTTTAGCCTCAAAAGCCCATAATGACCCTCTTCCCACTCTACGTTGGTGAATTCATCCAACACTCCATTTACTTCCCACATGATCTGGGGATGAAACCAGATCCTAGATTCAGTGTCTTCTGCCCTTGGGAAATAGGTCTGTCTTTTCTCTTTTTGGAAGCTACTGGTCCAACTCCGGGGTAGAGGGTACCTCTAAGTGGGGGCCGTGAAGGCTGCAGAGAGAGTACTAGGCCAAGAAATGGGAGACCTGCTTCTCTGCAGATCTTCATTTCCTTTGTTGGTAAAATGAGGGAATTGGGCAAGTTGTTTGTGAACTTCCTGCTCTAAGTTCTTACTTTGAGGGAAGAACTGAACTGGTAAAGTCTAGAGCTGCAGTGTCCAGTATGGCAGCCACTGGCCCCATGAGGCTACTGAGTATGTGAAATGTGATTATTCCAAATGAGAAGTACTGTATGTGGATATAGGAGTCAGAATTCTTTTTTTTTTTAATTTTTTTTTCAACGTTTATTTATTTTTGGGACAGAGAGAGACAGAGCATGAACGGGGGAGGGGCAGAGAGAGAGGGAGACACAGAATCGGAAACAGGCTCCAGGCTCTGAGCCATCAGCCCAGAGCCTGACGCGGGGCTCGAACTCACGGACCGCGAGATCGTGACCTGGCTGAAGTCGGACGCTTAACCGACTGCGCCACCCAGGCGCCCCAGGAGTCAGAATTCTATGATGATTCCCGGTGACCCTCCCCCCTGTATAACCTCCTCCTCTTCGAGTGTAGATGGAACATGTGAAATGTGTTATGTGAGGAAAGGGAGACTGTCCTGGGTGGGCCTGTCCTAAGCAGATGATGGTCTAAGAGCAGAGCATTCTCTCTGGCTGCTCACAGAAGAGGAAGTCCACACACTAGGTTGCCTGGAAGAAAGCAAACATCCATGCGGGGAACTGCCCATGGGGCCATGTGGCAAGGAACCACAGGCAGCCTCCAGAGGCTGAGAGTGATCCCCAGCAGATAGCCAGCAGGAAGATGGGGACCTCAGTCCTGCAACCACAAGGAAATGAACAATCTGCGAGCTTAGAAGTGAACCCCGAACTTCAGATGGGAACCACAGCCCTGGCTGATACCTTGACTTCAACCTGGTGAGACCCTGGGTTGAGAGTTCAGCCATGAGGTGCTCAGATTTCTGACCTAGAGGAACTGTGAGATAATAAATCTCTATTGTTTTAAGTTGCTAAGTTTGTTGTAATTCGTTACACAGCAATAAAAAACGAATATCTTGGATTTCCAAGACTTAGTACGAGAACAAAAATGTGGGGTGCCTGGGTGGCTCAGT